AAAAATGTTGAGGTTTTTGGGGTTTTTTTGAGTATATTAATTTACATGTGAATCAGCCCAAACTTTTGGAGGCTTTATTTTTAAGATTTGTTCAGGTGGATCTAGAGCAGTACTGTTCAATAGGAGTTTCTGCAATAATGGAAATGTTTTGTATCTGTACTTTTCAATATGGTAGCCACTAGTCACATTTGGCTACTAAACACTTGAAATGTGCCTAGTACAATTAAGGAACTAAATTTTAAAATTTAATTAATTTAAATAACAACATTTGGCTAGTGGCTACTGTATTGGACAGTGCAGATCTAGAGTTACCTCAACTCTTGTGCCAATTTACTCTTACTCGTAAGGAGTGATCTTTCTGAAGTCCTTATACTAAATGCCCTGCAGGTTTGGTGAGGCATCTCTGGCTTTTTAGAACTTGAATGTCCCCTAGTCTCATGCAAGCTGCAGCAGTTGTTCAGTTTACAGCTCCCCAGTAGTTATTCTTTAGCCAGAAATTGACCTTCCTGGCCCTGTAGAGTCTCATCCTACCCACATACAGTTTGATACTCAGCTGAACACTCAAGGGTACCCCTATCCAGGTTTCTAGAACTCTGTGTGTGTGTGTGTGTGTGTGTGTTCTGGTACTGTGCCCCACAAATTTCAGCTTCCTCAGCCTTCCTAACCAACCATCTCTATCTCTTTAGCTCAGTGAGGTAACCAGCCTCTGCTTGGGTTCCCTGACTCTGTGCAGCAGCCTCCAGCTGAGGTGATACAGGGCTTATCTCGTTTGTTTCCCCTCTCTCGAGGATCACAGTACTGCACTGGCTGTTGTTTAGTATCTGAAAAGTTTAGTATTTTTGTCCAGTTTTCTAGTTGTTTATGGCAGAAGAACTAGTCTGACACCAGTTACTCCATCTTGTTTTCAAGCCAGTAGATTATGTCTTACTAACACCTCTGTTCTCAATCCAGTGGTAGTGGTTGCTGCCTTTGTTGGAGACTGTAGCACATTAAATTGGAGATTTTTTCATCCTGGCAAAATTATGAATTTTGTTCATTCTTCATAAGGATAGCAATTGATGTAGGGATCCTGCTATTTACAAAATGTTCACAACAAATAGTTATTCAATGTATGTCACAAATTAGTGGGTTAAATTTTTAAGTACTTAAAGACATAAGTATTGAGACTACATTTCTACCCTGAGATGAGAAAGAGGGACAGATATAAGTTTGGTGTGTTTATTTTTAATGGAATAGAATAAACAATCACTATTTAAAAATCCACCTGTAACATCTTCTGTTGTACTATTACTGCCCAATAGCCAATTCTTTCCCAGTCTTTACAACAGCCCATAGAAGAAGGCAGTACTGTAATCTCCATTTCACACAAGGAAACTGAGACACAGAGAGGTTAAGCAACATTAACAGGGTCACAGCTAGTAAATGGCAAAACTGAGATTTATATGCAATTTGTCTTGCTTCAAAGCCCATGTTTTTAACTGCAAACTTTCAGAAGGTCTAACAGTGTGAACAGTATGCATATGAGTATTTGAGATGTAAATTTTATGTATACATAGTCACTGTATTCCCATTTTCAGATAAAGAAACTGAGACTGAACAAAGTTAACTGACTTTCTTGGTGTCACAGATAGTAAAAGGTAGATTTGGGATTGCAACTATGTGTTTGGGTCAAAGAACTATGTATGTGGATAGTCATCAGAGTTCTGTTTTTTTTTTTATGAAAAAGTGATATATTGGAAACAAAAATAGGGGTAGACATTACGTAAGTCATGGTATAATGCAAGTGATAAAATCCATACAACTATTTTTTTTTAACGTGAAAGAATACTGACAGGGTGAAAAGTGGTATGCAAAAGGATAAATATTTGCTTTAAACATACAAACATTTATGTGAAGACCTACTTACCCTTGGTTTATCCCTAAAATGCTGAAACAAACAATGTTTTTATTGATATACATATTGAGACTTAAGGTGATGTTTCCAAGGAAATAATGTAAGGGAAAAATCCTTGCTTTATAGTAATTTCTGCTATGAAATAGGCTTTGTTACAGAATTACTTCTGTTTCTCTTTTAGTCTACAAATTCCTATTTTTTCCACCTAACTACTTTCATTTTATCTATTCCAAATATTTACAAAACTAGATTTCCTTTCACAAATGATTTATGTTCTGTGTAATTTTTCTGGAAGCTGTTGGCAGGGGTCTGGTAACCATTAGTTTAAAAAAAAAAAAGACAAATTCTTTTCTAGGAAAAACTATAGTCTCCATGTTTTTCAACTCTGAAATCTTTAATCTTCATATTAAAATAATTAACATATTCAGATTGACTTTTTATTGGCCTAAATAGCTGTTATAAGAAAGAAACTACTTGGCAGAGTAATGATGAGTAAAGAGAAATTATATGAAGGCAGGAATAAAGGAAGAACAGCTCTCTGCCCTCAGTTTCCTTTCATGCAGAAGGCATAGGCTTGCACCAGCTGTAAGATTGCAACAGTAGAGCTGAAATCCCTAAAGGCAATGTGACTGATGCTCTTATACCAAGCCAAGCAAGCTTTATACCAGCTTCTCAGTAGTGTCTTGCTCCCTGTGGTGGGCTACTAGTGCAAGTTCAACCCTCGTGAACCTTTCATTCTGCTCAGGAGAAAGAGCCTCCGGGCTGACACACCAGTTCATAGAGGGTCTTGAAGAGTCTGGAGATGAAGTGAAGATGAGATGGCCTCAGACTGAAAAATATTTCCACCTACTTCCATTATTTCCAGTATCATATTGAGGGGTTTCTTTTGTGACATATGGTCACCCCACCTGAGAATTCTACAGAGTATATGAAAGGCAAAGCCAGACTCTCACCCTCACTCATAGCAGCTGTCCCTAAACTCATAGTTACTGTGGTTATTAAATTACTCATAGGGAATTGATCTGTTATAGAAATTACAAGAATATTTATAAATATGCCTTCCCTCACGTTTGCTTTAGGAGAGGTTTCATTAGATGGGCCCTTCTTTGTGTCTAAAAGTCTATAACACTACAATCTCCTCAAATCTTTTCCTGTAAGTATAGACCATTATTTTAAATGTGATTTTAAATATCAGGGTTTACCTTTTTGGAGAACTATTATTGCTTGAAATTCATGTTAGAAACAGAAAGATTGCATCATATATTTAAATAACCAGATGTGTCATTTTTTTTAAAGGAACCATTGTTTTAAATAAATTTATTTAATTTTGGCTGCATTGGGTCTTCGCTGCTGCGCTCGGGCTTTCTCTAGTTGCGGCGAGCGGGGGCTACTCTTCGTTGTGGTGTGTGGGCTTCTCATTGCGGTGGCTTCTCTTGTTGCGGAGCACGGGCTCTAGGCGCGCAGCCTTCAGTAGTTGTGGCACGCGGGCTCTAGAGTGTAGGCTCAGTAGTTGTGGCAGGCGGGCTTAGTTGCTCTGCGGCATGTGGGATCTTCCTGGACCAGGGCTTGAACTCGTGTCCCCTGCATTGGCAGGTGGATTCTTAACCACTGTGCCACCAGGGGAGTCCCAGATGTGTCAATATTTTAAATGTTGAAATTTTAAAATAACTTGGGAGAATTTGTTTTTGTCAATGTTGTCAGATATTAGTTATGTTAACATTCATATTATAAATAACAAATATATTCTTTTTTTTTTTTTTTTGCAGTACGTGGGCCTCTCACTGCTGTGGCCTCTCCCACTGCGGAGCACAGGCTCCAGACTCGCAGGCCCAGCGGCCATGGCTCATGGGCCCAGCCGCTCTGTGGCATGTGGGATCCTCCCGGACTGGGGCATGAATCCGTGTCCCCTGCATCGGCAGGCGGACTCACAACCACTGTGCCACCAGGGAAGCCCAACAAATATATTCTTAAAGAAAAATCAGAAAATACAGATAAGCGAAAAGAACATTTAAAAATTTCACTCAGGGAATTCCCCGGCAGTCCAGTGGTTAGGACTCTGCCCTTTCAATGCCGAGGGCGCCCATTCAGTCCTTGGTGGGGGAGCTAAGGTCCCGCAAGCTGTGAGGCGCAGCCAAAAAAAAAAAAAAAAAATCCACCCATTTAGAAATAATTAAGATAGAAGAGGAAGAAGGAATCAATAAAGGTAAAAGACGTAATTACTATTCATCTGTTTTTAAGATGCATATCTTCAAATTTTAACATCTCTGAAATCAGGATGTGTGAAGGAGTTTGCCTTTTTTAGTGGTACCTATAACAGCGATGCATCTTAAATTTGATGGTCTTGTATTCAATGAAATACAGTAATAGGTTCATTGTTGTTCGGGGTATAGATCCTTACAAATAGAATAGCACATCTGAGTGACAAAACTGCATTGCACAAATTGCTTGCACTGATTTGAGGAAGCATTTCCAATAGCAAAGTGCCTCTCTGGAACTGGTGTCTAAGGCTTGCTGAACTCTGATTCCGTTTCTGTCCTCCTCTTCACTGCCATACCACTCCAGAGGCGAAAGGGAAATAGATGGGACTTGGTCCTGGCGCTAACCATGCTTTAAGTCCCACAGAGAAGAGACTGGCAGGAGCATCCTTCTGAGGCCCTCTCACCTTCACTTCATCTCCAATAGAAAGTACAAATCACTGATTAGTTTTTGAGGCAGTAAATAGCTGTTAAATTTAGAAAATCTTTGGTAAGAGTGACTTTTATGCTTTTGTGTAATATTTCATGTTAAGTGGTTTGTTTCACTTACTGGGTAGTAAATATTTCTATTTCATTATCCCTCTCATCTTTTTATTATAGTATACAAGGAGATAGCTGTTTAATTCAAAATAACATCACTCTATCATTATATGGCTTTATATAAAGCTATATAATCAGATAGCTTTTTCAGACTTACCCTGTACATATCTATATATTATTTAAATGCAAGGCAAGTATCATGTATATATGTACTTAATTTTTTTTAGCTATTTTATTTTGATAAAACCTGTAGTTTGAGTTTTCTTCTAACTAGGAATTTAATGATTTCTTCCATTTATATATGCATGCAGGAAATAATGAAGAATGAAAAACATAAAGAAGAAATTAAAACCAAAGACTTTTATGAAAAAGAAAAACTCCTCAGAGAAGAGAGCAGCAAGGAACACTTGGCTCCACCAGTTCAAACTCAGATTAAAGGGCATGCCTCTGCTCCGTACTTTGGAAAAGAAGAATCCTCGGTGGCTCCCACCAGCACTGGTAAAACCTTTCAGCCAGGATCCTGGATGCCACAAGATGGCAAGAGCCACAATCAATGAATGCACTGTGGTAAAATCATTTCATTTATATATGTATGTGACTATTTTAACAAGTAAAAGTAAAAAGTTACTTCGTATTTTCTGACTGTACAATAGTTCTCTATTCCAGTAAACTTAAGAACTTGTTTTTACTATGCATAAGAAGTGTGAGTTTATGAACTATAGGAACCTAACTTCTTTTAGACTTAAATCCTTCACTTGATTTAGTCTTCATTCTCTGTTTATAAATTTGCTTAGTTTTTTTCCTCTTTGAGTTGCTCCCTTGAGAAGTATCTTGTAGCTGTAAATGCTCAGTACATTTTAGATCCTTACGATCATTTAGAAACCACCCAAAATATATCTTGGTAGAAAATGATAAGGGTAAATATTGAACTGTCCTAAATGATCAAATATAAAAGGAGAAGACTGCTATTTCTGTAGAGGCACTCTGTAAGATTCTAAAGAACTAATCAAAAACATGAACTTGGATAAAACACATGGAGGCCAGGATAAAAACATGTGGAGGCCAAGAAAATTTATTTGATAAATGAAAAACACCCTATGATATAGTAGATGGGACAAAAGCTATTTTATGGTGGAATTGAGGTTGGAGTTTTAAAGAAGAATTAGGACCAATGGAAGTAGACAATCTATCACAAAAGTCTGAAAAGATGGTAAACAGAGAAATGGTACAGTAATTGCAGTTCTGTGAGATTAAAAATTACTTTGAAGAAATAGAAAATAGGGCAGAGTTCTCAGAACGTGATTCCACTGATAGTGGAGATTACAGTGATTTCTATATTGGAGAAAATTATAGACAGATGACAACATTAAAACAGATTATATATAAAAGTGTCATACATTTTCTGAAGTGCACAACCAAGTTTTTGTTGCTAACAGAGTTCTAATTCTAATATAGAGGTCTTCTAACAGTGTTTGACATTGTAGCAACTACTCAATAAATATGGACTGAGATTTTTACTTAATATTAGAAGGTAAAAATTTTAATTGCTTAAGAAATAAACTACAGAAAAATACAACTTTATAAAATGTTATACTGAAACAAGTAATCAAATGTAATCACCATAACACTCATGAAATGACAAAAAAAAAAAGCCCCTAGGTGGTAATATTAACGTTCCAGCAGCCCTGTTAATATCAAGTTAATCATTCTGTCTCTTTACATTATTCCAAAGTAGTATTACATTTTACCAAAGAGGCAAAAAAGGAACTAGCTATTAGGCAATATAAAAAGAGATAAAATTTGTTGTATAATTGACTGTAAATAAGATGTTCTTGAACCCCAGGTTACAGGAAAAACTGTAAATTCTAACATGCTAGAATAGAATGTGTCTACTACCAAATTCCTATCAGCTTATTAACTGTATTCTATATACATATTTTACAAAAGTTTGTTGTGTAGGCTGTTTATAAATATCTTAATGTATGACAGAATTTACATTAATTTTAATTTTTATGGTTTTCATTTTAAAATACCTGTTTTACATAAAAGAAAATCTTAGCCAACAGTTACGTTACATAAGAAGATGATACTGGCCCACCCATTATTAGTAAAGTATGAACTTTCAAAGTGATTTTGAGAATAAACTTTGTAGTAATCCATCCACACTCCTTTCCTCAAGACTAACATTTTTAGGATGACTGGTTTACACTGTTAGGTGGTATCAGAACAGAGTTCTGAGAAGATTTAGTCCTACATAAAAACTGAACTATAATCTTGGCCTAATTAAGATTGCCTTTCTAAACAATCTTGTGTTTATATGTGGCTTTTAAGCCAGACACATGCAAAGCAGAATCAGAGTTTCACATAAAATATTCACTTGTCCACCATATTTCATATTTTAAAGTTATATTTGGGGAATTTATAAGTTTTTTTTTTAATGAAAATGTTTTTCTTCATCTTTTCAAGACAGACTCCAAAACCCATGCAGATTTTTAAATTTCAAAAGTTAAAATGTTCATTTTAAAATAATTAAATTGGGGCTTCCCTGGTGGCGCAGTGGTTAAAAATCTGCCTGCCAATGCAAGGGACATGGGTTCGAGCCCTGGTCTGGGAAGATCCCACAGGCTGCAGAGCAACTAAACCCACGCACAAGTACTGAGCCTAAGCCCTAGAGCTCACGTGCCACAACTACTGAGCCCACGTGCCACACCTACTGAAGCCTGCGAGGCTAGAGCCCGTGCTCCGCAACAAGAGAAGCCACAACAATGAGAAGCCCGCACACCGCAACCAAGAGTAGCCCCCACTCACAAACTAGAGATCCCACGCACAGCAACGAAGACCCAACACAGCCAAAAATAATTAATTTAAAATAATAATAATAATTAAAGTGTCATACATACCTTAAGTTCTCTCAGATAAATCCTTCCTGACTTCCTGTGCCTCTGCTATACATGCATATAGCATTTTTTCCCCCAAAGGCCTTATTATACAAACTGCTCAGGTATACATGCGTTGCCTTTTGGGTTTAACCATATAAATCTAGCCTATTAGCTATGCCTTGGATATCTGAAGTTAAAAATCAAAAAAAATGGAGGAAATAATTTTTCCCCATTATGTTATCCTTTTGCATTCCATTTTTACTGATTTCTGGCTCTCATTTACTTCCTAATTTCATCAGCCTTGACCCAATACCATCATACTGACTTTTTTAATGCTGTCTCATTAACCACACTATCTAAAATGTAACCTGAATTCATTTAGACTAGGCTTTCTCAAACTATTTGTGTTCTTTGGGGGAAAAGAAAAGAGTCTATGATAGTCAAAGAAGGTTAAAAGACTCCAAGAAATCATGAAGAAATGAATTGTCTTATCTTGTGTTTCCCAAACTTTTGGTATTTGAACACGGAATCCCCTTTAATGTTTGAGAAATACAGAATTTGTCCTTATATGTTACAGATATGAAGTAAATCAGAGTGATCCTATAATCAGTTGCAAACCTGAAAGCAATCATCCCTAAATAGGTATCAGACTTCCTCTAACTTAAAACCAGATGAGGTATAAAGTGCCCCTAACAATGGGTGACGAGCTGTTACTTAATAGTGGATCTCAACATTGGGTTTCTAGCTTACAGCATCCGAACTTATTTCAAGTTTGCTCACTGTAATTTCAGGAAATAGGTTTAAAATCCCCTTGCACATCTGATACAGTAACACCATGCTGAAATTTACCACGTGGACGCTATGGATCAAATTCTGATGCACAAACTTTTTGGTGGTAAAATGTTTGTTATAGGCAGCTTGTTTTTCCTTCAAAACCAGCCATAATTGATTATATTAGTTCTAAGAACTTCAGAAACAACATAATATGTAGGCAGTTTTTAAAAGAGTTATTCTGGGTAACAGTAAATGGGATTCTTGTAACCATAACAGTATGTTACAATAAAAGATTGATTTTTCTGAAGACTCTCAAAACTCATAATACACAGTCCCCAACTTAATTTTTCAACTTTACGATACACATTCACATTCAACAGAAACGTTGTTTGAGTTTTAATCTTTTCTCGGGCTAGCAGTGTGCAGTAGGACACTTGTGATGCTGGGCAGTGGCAGGGAGCCACAGCTCCCAGTCAGCCATGCAATCACAAGTTAACAACCGATACCCACACAACCATTCTGTTTTTCACTTTCAGTACATTATTCAGTAAATTATTTTCAGCTTGCAATGGGTTTATCAGGATGTAATCCATTTTAAATCGAGGTAGCTCTATAGTCTCTAATTTACACCACCCCCCAACACACACAAACATATAGACACATATTATAAAACCTTGTTGATCTCAAATGTATAAAAAGGCTCCATAAATTTTGGGAAAAGCTGAAGAAACAATAAATGGCCTATGCCAAACAAATACAAAATTGTATTAAGACTAACAGGGACTATAGAAAAACCTATTTTAGTTAAACACCTTTAAATTGTCACAATGAGCAATGAAACCATAGCTTTAGTGGATAACTGTAAGTTTTGTTTAAATTTCAATGACAATATAAAAAGCATTATCCTAGATCACCTGAATAACTAATTTGTAATTAAACACTGAATTATTTCAGTGCTTGGAGCTGCAATGTGTTGATCACACTGGCACCAAGTAGGAACTGACAACCTAAAATAACAGTAATAAGTATTGTTCAACCAGTCCATAAACATTCTCAGAGGTCCTTAGGTTCTCATATTTGAGAAACATTGCTCTCAACTTTTACAAGTACAGTTGACCCTTGAACAACATGGGTTCGAACTGTGTGGGGCCACTTATACACAGATGTTTTTAGTGGTCAATACTACAATACTACATGATCCAGGGTTGGTTGAATCCACGGATGAAGAACTGTGGCTACAGAGGGACCTCGGAACTGCAGATATGGAGGACCTGCATATAGGAGGGAACAATGTATAGGGAGGGTCCACTATAAATTATACAGGGATTTTCGACTGCAAGGGAGGACTCATGCTCCTAACCCCACAAAAAAAAACAAAGCCCAGCGTGGTGTTCAGGGGTCAACTGCATGCTTATCTATAAATGAAATTTGTAACCCTCTGAAAAGTCTAACTTCTATAACATATTTAACTTGATTACTCCTCCCCCCACAAAAAAAAAACAAAGCCCAGGACCTCTTTATAAAAATGTATCAAATTTATTTCAATATCTAGTTTCATTTTTAAGTTAAAGCTTTTAGACAATTTTTTTGTAATTTAAGATTCATTATCAGGGGTGAGGAAAACATTAATAAGCTATTAATTACTGACAACAAAATTATTAACCATGCATTTATAAAAGCCATGTTAAAGAGTAAAAAGTTCCAGTTATACTACTTAACTGAAGGAAATATCCTTCAGCCCTTTATTTCTAACTATAACACATTCTAATTTTGACATGATTTACACCTTTTTCACCCAACTAATACTATGCTAAACAAACTTTTTCCAACTGTTAAGCCTTTCTTTACCATTTATGAAATATGACTTAACTGTTACTCTTTCAAAGTTCCTTAAAAGAGATTTGAATTTTAATTTTCACCATGAACCTGTTTGATCAAAAAAGTAAAGGACATCACTACCACATGAATTAAAGAATGGAATGAAAAACAAAAGTGGTATTATATAATCAGCAAATTATTTGATAAGACATTTTAACTA